CCTCACACTTTTGAGGCGCACTTTCGCTGACTTGTGAAAGGAGCGCTAGTTTAGCACTCCTTTCAGGGACAGGGAAGGAGCACCGCAGAATCGAGGCGTGGGGATGCCTCGATCCTGTGGCGCACCTTCCCAGGGTGGCCCCGTGCTGCCAGTCTGCTTCCCCCAAGTTTTAAACAGGAAATGTATAAAAAAATGGAAGAGGTGTGAAATCACTAAAGAGGAATTCAAACAAATAGCTAGCACATGTAGGGGTAAAGTCAGGAAAGCCAAAGCACAAAATGAACTCAGGCTTGCTAGAGGAGCTAAGGACAAAATAAAGTTTTTTGAGGGTATGCGCATAGCAAAAGAAAGAAGAAGGAAATGGTAGGGCTGTGCAGAGAAGATGGAGAAATTCTAACAGGGGACAGAGAAAAGGCAGAACTACTCAACACCTTCTGTGTCTCAGTCTTCTCACAAAAGGAAAAGGGTATTCAACTTGAGGAAAATGGAGTAGAGAACACAATAGGGGAATGCAGCACAGAATAAGTAAAGAGGAAGTACAGGAATACCTGGTTAGCCTTAATGAATTTAAGTCTCCAGGGCCAGATGAACTACATCCAAGGATATTAAAAGAACTGGCAAATGTAATCTCAGAGCCACTGGCAATAATGTTTGAAAAGTCCTGGAGAACAGGAGAAGTCCCAGCAGACTGGAGGAGGGCAAACATTGCCCCCATCTTCAAAAAGGGGAAAAAGAGGATCCCAACAACTATCGCCTAGTTAGTCTGACATCAATACCAGGAAAGATTCTAGAACAGTTCATTAAACAGAGAGTCTGTGAACATTTAGAAGGGAATGCCATAATCACTAAAAGTCAACATGAGTTTCTCAAAAACAAGTTATGCCAGACTAATCTGATCTCTTTTTTTGATAAAATTGCCAGCTTGCTAGATGAAGGGAATGCGGTAGACATAGCATATCTTGATTTCAATAAGGCTTTTGACAAGGTCACTCATGATATACTTGCAAACAAGGTAGTAAAATGTGGGCTAGACAATACAACTATTAGGTGGATTAGTAATTGGTTGACTGACTAAACCCCAAGGTTGCTCAGCAATGGTTCCTCTTCATCCTGGAGAGAAGTGAACAGTGGGTTGCCACAGGGTTCTATGCTAGGCGCAATGCTATTCAACATTTTTATCAATGACTTGGATGAAAGAATAGGGGAATGCTTCCCAATGCAGATGACACCAAATTAGGAGGATTGCTAATACCCCAGAGGACAGGACGAAAATTCAAAATGACCTTCACAGATTAGAAAGCTGGGCCAAAGCTAACAAAATGAATTTCAACACAG